AAGAATTGAGGCAGTTCTGAAGGCAAAAGGGGGTCCAACCCGTTACTAGCATGGGGTACCTAATAAAGTGGCTGGTGAGTGTATATGTGCTATCAAAATTAAATGTGTAGCTAAAAAAGCAAGTACTGAATATGTTCACGAGAAGATAACTGGAACATTTGGGCCCATCAGACCCAGATCTGATGTGATGTTTCTCTGATTAAAGACCAGTCTCTGTTTTACTCTGAGCTTCTGGCCAGACTCTCCTAACTGTCCTCCACCTTCTGCCAGTTCTGATCCCAAGTGACTGGACAGCAAAAAGAATTCCACAGCTCTGTCTGATAAAGTGGCGGTGCAGAGGTAGCATTTTTCCTCTGGGTTCAAGGTACATTTCTTTTTAAAACCGATATAAGGAACTGAAAAATGTATATTATATTGAGTAGTCGAAAACCACAATATAGCACCAAATCGATTTTTTCCCAACATCCCTACTGATGTTTACTGAGATGCATTTGTAAAAGCAGTGGTGTTCACTTCACCTAGCAAACATAGACTAGCGCTACATCAAGTACACCCCACGCCAAAAAGAGCATTCAGCAACAACAAACAAGTTATTTTAAATCCTCTTCTGAAGGTTTTGCTCATTATCAGTTTAGTAACTCTGCTAGTCTGGTTAGATTTTCCTGCAGTAGTGCCGAGGTGAGAATCTGCTGTGGAGAAGCAGAGACCGGACTCTGCTGGAGAATAAATGTCCTAGAAGAGCTGCATGGAGAAGCTTGCAGTAAAAACAGCAGAATGGGCTCAAACTGGAAGGCAATCAGACTTTGGCTCAGTTTTTCTAAAGACATTTCCTCACCTTTCCAGAAATTCTGTTGGCTCCACCAGAGCAATCTGTGGTTGGTGTGCTGATGTATTTAAGTAGCACAAAGGTCCATCCTCCTGAACACATTCCAAGTCAGATGTATATCAAAAGCCACTCTTATTCTTCTGGTCTTTAGCTGTTAAATGTTTGGAAGCTGAAAACCTCCCCCCTCTGTTCAGTGATGGCTTTTCTCTTTTCACTAAGATGTCTTCCTTCACCCCTCTTTCAAACTGTCTGCCATTTCTGTCCAAACTCTGAACATTTTAGTTATCAAAGGTGTATCACTTGTTCTTGGATTTGCATCCCGTTTTGGAATGCAAGGAGGATGGATCTCCATACTGCTGAAATAGATCAGCGCTCCTACTGCAGATTGCTGTGGTGCGATTTGACTAAATTGACGAAGACTCCTGTGTAGGTATGGAAACGTCTTCAAAGAAGTGATCAAAAATCTGATTGCCTTCCAGTGTAAGCCAGTTCTGGGGTTGCCAAGACCTAGATGACTGAAAATGTACACACGCATGTAGAGAAACATTTACTGCTAATTAAAGAGCTTCTCATAGATAACCACCTTTGCACTGATGCTTCTCCCGCCGTGTGTCACATTAGCTGATTTCAGGAAAGTGCACTTACTGTACCAGTGCAGTAAGCATCACCATTTTTCTGCAAAATTAGACATATTCAATTGGGTGTAACTAAAAAGAAAAAAAAACTATGTCAACTTTGCGCACTGTTTCAACTAATTGATTATTTGTGCGCTTCCGTATGAATAACATTTTTGTTTGTAAGCGAACCACCTGCTCGGAGCCATTTCCTCTTGTCCCGAGTTCGACGGATGTCATGCAGGCACTTGGGATAAAGAGGATCATCATGGGCGTGTACGTCTTGCACGTGGTTTAGGAAGGAGGTCCATTTTGCCACTCTCTCAGGACCGGTCCTTGAGGTAGCTGCAGTCCAGTAAATGTGGTTTTTAATGCTCCTCGTCCACTTCTGGAGTTTCTCAAAACCTTTCTTCTTGCTGATCTTCTCCAGTTTCTTTGAAATTCCTAAAGTGTGTGTAAGATAAATGTTTATAAAGAACATCCCTGTGCAACAAGTCATGTATTTCATACGATCATCAATTTATAAGCGTATGATTATAACTGACTCCAATCCTGACTGTAAGGACAGAAACTCTTTCATGATCCTCCAACGTTCAGTCACGTAGAGAGATGTACCTTTCTCCATGTGCCAGACGTCGTAGTAGTGGGTGATGTTTTTGTCGGTGAGAAACTTCTGAACTTGTGGGTGGCGGTCGGTGACGAGGCAGTCAGGAGTCACGCCTCGTGATTCCAGCAATGCCAGACTCCTCCTCAGTCCCTCTTTCTCCATCTGGTAGATGCCACCAACCTCAATGTTCTGTTTTCCAGCCACAAAACCAGAAGAACACATGGCATTAGAAACTGCCAATGTACATTTTTATTAAAATTACAAAGAACTATTTTGTTTGAGCAATCACCTGTAGCAGCTGGATGTCCAAAACTGTGCCTCTACTCAGGTCCATCATGGTGTAGCTCCCGATCTTTGCCGAGTTCCCTGTTTAAAACCGATTCCATTACATCCGGTCTATTCTTTGTTAATCATTGGAATGACAGAATATTTCAAAAACCTGTATAAACTGTAATATTTATAAATACCTGGAGAGTCAGCCCTCATGTTACCACCAAGTATTACTTTGCCCTGCTGACTGAGCCTCTGCAGCGTCGCTTCTTGTGACGTTTTCCACTGGTGGACGACTGCCGGTTCAATAAAGGCTCTGGCATGTCTGCGAAACGTGTCGTACTGAAACGTCTGCAGCTGCATTGCATCAAAGACCTGTTGGTAGAAAGATGAGAAAAAGGGAATAAATCCTCTATTCAGAGCCGCACTCTGACCCTAAAGGGTTGCACATTGTTTACCCTAGCTATTTTCCAGAAAGATGCGCCGCTCAGGTACACGGCAGCAGAGAGCTGGAGGTCCCCGGCTGGCGTGCTTCCCAGAAGAGGCTGGCTGTTCCACTGTCTGTAGAACTCACAGTGGGGGCAGCGCTGCTCCACAGACAGGAATGTTCCCCGTCTATGCGTCCTTACGTCACACAACCGCATGCAGGCAGGACACACTACAAACAGCTCCATAATGCAGCTCTCATACACTATGTATTTCTTTAAGTTGTGGACAGGAGTGGACGGATCTTCCCTGTATGAAGAAATAAATAAATGAATAATGGAAGAACGACTGTAAGAACTCAGACAATGTCTACGGCATGTTAGTGAATATTCTCAGTCATCCAGGTCATAGTCATTCCAAAAAAGTTAAAAAAACACGAAAGGGTCCAACAACTTTGAAATGGGGGCTGTTTAGCCTCTTTGTTAGCATGCATTCCACCCCATTCCAAAGGGGTGGACACAGTTCGTCCGTTTCAATTTGCATGTCTCCCAAGACAAAGCAAGGCGTTGTTGGGCTACTGTATAAAGCTTCGACCTCAACGCTATTTCTGACATTTTGAACTGAAAAACCTTCGTGGATGGGAAGCGAAACGTCTTCAAACTTGGAAACAAATTTCCAGTGTATTGTTTTTTAACTTATTTG